CTCCCTCTATCATGGTATCTCTTTCATTGCTTTCCCCCTCTCTCCCTTTTCCAGCTCGAACATCCATTCCCTTATGTTCTCATCCCTGATCCTCCATTGCCCACCCCTCATCCCCAGTTTACTTATGGAGATCTCATCTATTTCCCCTTCCCAATGCAATCCATGCATCCCTCTTTGGGTCTTCCTTGTTAGCTAGCTGCTCTGGAGTTGTGGGTTGTTGTCTAGTTATTCTTAGCTTTACATCTAGTATCCATTTATGAGTAGGTGAATACCATGTTCGTCCTTCTGAGTCCAGGTTATCTCATTCAGGATGATATTTTCTAGTTCCATCCATTTGCCTGCAAATTTCATGATGACATTGTTTTTCTCTGTTGAGTAGTACTCCACCATGCATATGTACCATGTTTTCTTAATCCATTCTTCAGTTGAAGGGCATCTAGGTTGTTTCCATGTTCTGGCTATTACAAATAATGTTGCTATGAAGATAACTGAGCCTGTATCCTTGTGGTATGATTGAGCATTCCTTGGGTTTATGCCCCAGAGTGGTATAACTGGGTCTTGAGGAAGATTGATTCCCAATTTTCTGAGAAACAGCCACACTGGTTTTCAAAGTGGCTGTATGCGGCGCGCTCCTCTCGACCCGCAAGGAAGAACGACCGCCACACAAAGATTCTTCCCGATCACACTTTATTGGAGAGCCTTTGGTTAAAGGAGTGCTGGAAGCGAGGGGCGGGGGCAGTGAAAGCAGCTGCTTTATATAGGGAAAAAAGGCGCGAATCGCTGGCTGAACTTAGCCTGCAGCCACCAGGCAAGACAGGATTGGTGAGGGGCCAATATAGCTTATGCATATGCAAAGCAGAGGCGTGTATTTCGTCGAAAGCATTGTCTTAGGAGTAATAAATCTTCAGAATGCAGAGAAGTCAGCGCCATCTTACAATGGCGATTGTCCCGGCTCCCTGCAGCTGTATAAGTTTGCACACACACCTACAGAGGAGGAGTGTTCTCCTTGCTCCAAATCCTGTTTAACATAAGCTTTCTTCAGTGTTTTTGATCTTAGCCATTCTGACAGGTGTAAGATGGTACCTCAGAATTGTTTTGACTTGCATTTCTCTGATGACTAAAGAAGTTGAGCAATACCTTAAAAGTCTTTCAGCCATTTGAAATTCTCCTTTTGAGAATTATCTCTTGAGCTCTATAGCCCATTTTTAAAATTGGATTGTTCATTATTTTGATGTCTAGTTCCTTGAGTCCTTTATATATTTTGGAGATCAGCCTTCTGTTAGATGTGGGGTTGGTAAAAATCTTTTCTCATTTTTGTAGGCTGTCATTTTGTCTTATTTACTGTGTCCTTTGCCTTACAGAAGCTTCTCAGTTTCAGGAGGTCCTGTTTATTAATTGTTGCTCTCAGTGTCTCTGCTACTGGTATTGTATTTAGGCAGTGGTATTCTATGCTTATGCGTTCAAGACTACTTCCTACTTTCTCTTCTATCAAATTCAGTGTAACTGGATCCATGTTGAGGTTTTTGTTCCACTTAGATTTTAGTTTTGTGCATGGTGATAGATATGGATCTATTTGCAGTCTTCTACATGTTTACATCCAGTTATGCCAGCACCATTT